ATGATATAACCCGATCTCATCAAATCTTGGCAGCTAAGCAGAGTCAGTACTTGGAAGGGAGACCATGGAGGAAGACTCTGCAGAGGAAGGCAATGGCAAACCACCTCTGCTTCTCACTTGCCTTGCAAGCCCCTGGTGGGGTCCCTGTCTCCAGAAGTTGTCTGCGACTCCTCTCTCTCTCTCTCTCTCTCACACACACACACACACAAACACAGCTGCTTGCTTTTTAAGATTAAATAGAGCATAATTAGACAGTTTATTGTTCACATTGTTCTCTAATTCTGAAAACCTAATCCTATTGCATTGTCCATTGTATGTCTTATGCTATTTGATCCCCCTGTTCTATATTCTGTAATCTGCCCTGAGTCTCACCAAGAAAGGAGGACTATAAATAAAAGTATTTTCTTAAATGAGTCAGTCTTATGGTGGGTGGACTCTCTAGGACAGCCACTCACCCATAAACTATCATCCAATCCCTCACTGGATTAAGGACAAAGAATTGATTGCACTGTGGCAATAACAGCTCCTTGGCATTATGTGAAGGGGATTCCATCTTCCCTTGGAGCAAGCTGGGGTTGGATGACTCAAGGAGGAGGAACATCTGTCTCGGCCATGCATCCCTGCTCACAAGCTCTGACTCTCCTTTTGCTTGGGAACACTGGCACTTCAGTTTACACACATATTCACAAGAATAAAAGGGTACAATGTACCAGAATTGCCGTGCCACCGAAGAACAAGAAGCAAAAAACTGTCGCACAGACCTTTCTAATAGGACAGATTTGGTATCATGGTCGATTAAAACGCAGCCACAGACACGGCAAAGCTCCCTCCCTCTGCTTGCTTTTCCTTAACTCATTAAGAGCCAGCGAAGTCTGGCCAAAGCGGAGCAGGCCATTTTTAAAATCTATATCTCTATACATGAGAGAGAGAGAACCATACTTACTGGGTGCCAACTAATTCTGAAGAATCGCAGGGCAGCTGCTAGAAACGGAGCCCCCCCACTTTTCCAAGACATTCTGCCCTGAGCCTAAACACATTTGCATGGAAGTAAAGCCCCTTGAGATCCATTGACTGCTCTTGCAAATAAGTGGCGCTTAGGGGCAGAAAAGCTCACAATTTTAACATTAGAACGAAAAATAAATCCACCCTCCTCTGCTGCTTTCTATTTTACACCGAAGATGTTTGTCTGCCCAGAAGCAAATTTCACAAATGGGATTTGCTCCCCAATTAAGTGGGTTTTGGTTTGCAGATCAGCCTTGTAAGTTAGGTCAGCTTTTTGTTGTTGTTGTTTGTTTAATTTATAGAAGGTGGCATAGCTAAGAAAAAGGAGCTGTGATCTGCAAGGTCACTGGTTTCACTTTCCCCTGCGCTGATCAATTTCCCACCAACGTACCTTACAGGTCTGTTGTAAAGCTTACCACTAGCTCTTTGAACTGTGGGGTGCCAGATCTATACCAAGCCCTCCCTCTCTCCCTTTCTTTCCATTTCTGGAAAGGGTTCATTTCACAGCAGGAAAGGAAGCACCGGTCCTACGTCCCTAGAATTTTCGAAATTCAACACAAGTATTTGCATCGGAATGGAATTGCTACATTCTCGGCGCCCCTCCCCCTCCCCTGGCCCAGATGAAGAAGACCTTGGGCGGGCACAGCAGGGGGCGGGAGGAGAGATCGGGAGCTGCCCCCTGGCTGGCCCTGGTGGCAGCAACCTCTGTTCTTGCTAGGCTGCCTTGCAGCAAGAGGCAGCTATAGCCTGAGGCGAGGGCAGCGGCTGGAGAAGGGCTCGGGGGCGCCAGCCTGGGGGAACAGGAACCGCCGCCACCTCCTGCCGCCAGGAATGAGCCTGTGCCCAGTCTGCCTTTCGCTGCTGCTGTTGCCGCCAGCAGAGGAGACCCGCAGTAGGAAGAGGAGGAGGAGGAAGAAGAAGGCACTGGCCGCCATGGCAGCAGCAGCCACAATGTTTGTATTGTATGCTGGTCTTAAGACCGTAATAATAAAACTAAACAATGGGAGTGGGGATGATGCGGGCAGCCCGGGCTGCACCAAGGCTCGCCACTTCCTCTACGTGGGGGTCATGACCAATGTTCCCTCTAAACTGTGGAGTCTTGTGAGCAAAAATTATACTCTGTGAGCTACTGGCATTAAAGTTGTGAGCGAGCGATTTGGCTACTGAATAAATCAGTTTGCCCCGTAGCCTTCCTTCCTGAGCCAAGAGGAAAATGTGTGAGCCGGAGGCTAAAAAACTGAGCTAGCTCATGCTAACTCAGCTTAGAGGGAACACTGGTCATGACTGTGGAGCAGGGCTTTTGGCGAGGGAGGGGTGGGCTTGGAAGCCAGCTGGAATGCCGTTCCGGGGCATTCCGGATCAAAAATAGCCCTGTGCATATATAAAGTAGTAGAATAGGTGCATAAAGAAATGATTGCTGTAAAAAAAAGCAAAAGTTTTAGTGCAATCAATGGAAAGTGCTCCAGATTAATATTTTACTTGTTTTGTGTGTGTTTTTGTTGATATTCGTGTTGTGTGTTGAAAAATAATAAAAATTATATAAAAAAAGATTGCTCAACTTGCTTCAACATTATATCTGCTTTTAGTGGTGTTTCAAGTCAACTTTAAGTGCAGAAAGTACAGAATATTGGCCATAAGCAATACAAAAGGATGTAAACATTGATTGGGAGATATGGCAGGTGACAGTAATCATTCCTATTATTGTGTCTTAATCAGTTATTGTACTTAACAAAGAAACGTATGAATAGTTTGTAGTTTTTGCTCACCATTCCAAATCCTGATCCAGGCTGTGCAGAGGGGGCACCCGATGTAGGAGCAGCAGCACCTGCTGGAGGCACAGATCCTGCCTAGAAAACCATAACAAAACCAAAACAAAACGCTTCACCAACTGACTCAAAATTTACACAGTATCAACTCTGTAAAAACCAGTCTACTTCAAGATAAAGTTACCATTAAAGGAACAGGTAGCACTCAGTATATAATTCTACACTGCCTTTTTAGCTGCTGAAGTTATTGTTTGTGTTAAAAAAAATTTTCACTGTACATCAATTTAGCTCATTGAATTCTCCAAAATGCTTGAAATCTTTCTATAGTACTTCCTACTTTTGAAAAAGTATTTAACCTCATTAGCTATTTTCGCATATAATCATGTAGGTCTTCTAACAGCCTGACTTCCAACTCATTTATTTGCTTTGAGAAGAAATAATTTCCATGTAGCTGCCAAAATCCAAAATATTGCAGTGTACCAAGACTTGTGCCAAGCTTTCCAAGATCAAACTCTATCTCTCATTCATTTCACAAGAAAGCTCCAGTGTATGTTACCACTGAGCAGAACTTTTACTGAATCTGAGTAAATGGAGGATGGTGGAGAGATGGTAAGCAGGGGCGGCACAGCACCCTAAGTAGCAACCTGGGTGCCTCACCCCACCAGCCATCCCCTGCTTGCTGAGTTTGCCGCGGGACCACCCCCCTCCTCAGGAAGAACTGCCATGGCAGCCCCTGCCCTCCCCCCATCCCACTGCAAACGGAACCCATGGTGAGTCCCGCCCTGGCTTACCCATGTTTAAATGATGGTGTTATTTAATCTATATTCAGCAGAATGGGATATATTTCCTAAAATTGAATTAGTAAAAATACATATCATATCTTGTGATGGCAAATAGGCTACCTAGTAAGGTGAAGATTCTTGGCTGACTATACTACTTTTGCACATATCTAGGTTTACTACTGCAGTAACAAATTTTCCCTATCAACAATGTTTGCATAAATTCTGCACAAATGCTACGTACTATTGGACCACTTGGAGGAACTCCGGTTGACCACATGGCAGGTGCTACTTTTGGTGTCCAGTTGGCTCCTCCTGTTAACTTTTTCTCTCCTGCATTCCACTGAAGGTCTCCCCTAAGACAGAAGAGCCCCACAATGACACAGAATGTTCCTATTTTAATCCTTTTGTTAACATGTAGTATGTATGTTGGTTTGTATATAATATGTAAAGTAATAAAAGTGTACCCAACCGGGTACTTAAAAAAAAAGGAACCAAAAGTCTATAAAAAGCCAACTAATACATTCAACACTGTAATAATACTCAACTGTAATGATGTTGGAAGCCACATTGAGAAACCATTGAGGAGAAAAGTAAGGCATAAATGAAAATTTTAAAAATACTGATTTACATTAGCAAAGAATACACTACTGAGAAGCATTTTGATCTCTGGAGTTTTGATTTCACCAGCTACTTACTTCTTTGATGTGGTACCAGAAATTCCAAGATCTGCAAAAGTGAATGTAAGTAATGTGTGAATGTATTAAAATGTGACCAGAGACTTTAAAGACCTCGCCATTTTATTTCAAATATAACTCCTCTGTTTAATGTGCTATTCTTCAGAGCATCAACATTACATTTCTCTTTAAAGGAAACAATAGTTTGCTGTACTCAGCACTACAAAAATGCTGGCTCTCAGTGTCAAGTTCAGGATGATAACAGGAATTGGCTGCCACTGAATAAATGAAAATCTAATCATATGCTTTCATCCTCTATATAGGGAAACAAGTACAGCCTCTTCGCCAGTAACTGTCAGAGGCACACACTGAGGAAAGCCCCTATATTCCAGCAACCAAAATATGTGATCACAAGAACACACACACAACTCTCAAACCCAGCTGTTTAAATGACTTACTTCCTACTAAGTTCGCAAGAGAGGAATCAAGATCACTCCCAAGGCCTTTGGTTGCAGCTGAAGCAGCAGCACTGGATGTGCCTGAAGTGGGTAAGGATTGACCGGATGGCATCATGGTTGGCATAAGGAGGTCACCTAAGCCATCAAACACTGAAAAATGTAAGGAGATTTGTAGTTTAGGGCAACAGCCTTTCAACAGCCTTAATGCAAGGGTCAAAGCATGAGATCTGTAATACAGTCACTATGCATCTTAATGACACAGACATGACATCAACAACATCAACAGATGACATGCATGGTATATCATTAGCACACTGGAATGTACAATAATTCAGGAAATAATTATTCTAATGAATACGGAGCATGGTGATATGTGCCTAAACAGTCACAGATGCATGTTATTTTAAAACCCATCTTAAGCTATTGTACACCCTGCATATCCAATGAGGAATGTTGTTCCTCAAACCAGTTATGAAATGCAGCTGGGAAACAAAAGTGTGTTTGTGTGTGTGTGGGTGTGTTCAGATGGGCCATTTAGTCCGCTTTCAGCACACTTTAGTAATGGATTTTATATCCAAGTTCACACACCCAACATCTACGCACCGTTCCCAGCCATCGGTTTCCGGCTCAAACCCCCTTTAAAATGGAGTATTTTGTTACCAGGTCCCCAAGTGGTGTTACCAGGTCCCCAAGTGGTGTTTTCTCCGGTTCTAGCCGCACTTTTCTGACGTCTGATCGCTCCTGCGGTGTTGAGCTACTTCCGGTTTAAACCCCCTCCCCACTCGAAAGCTACCCAAGGCTTCCGCTTTTCGACCACCATTTTTTTATGTGTTGGCAGTGTGCGCATAGGTGGAGCTCCGCCACCGTGTTTAGAAAACCGACATTAATGGTCACTTGTTTTAGCGTTTAGATAAGTTCAGCATCTCACGGAGGCAATTTTCAGGTCAAACATTTAAAGGGAAGTCTTTTGTTGGAGGGGTTGGATTGATTCGCCCTGGTGGTTCTGCGCATGCACCATGATAGTTTCCCCCCCTTCTACAGAGGGACGCCTATGTGCATGTGCAAACTGAGGAAAATTTTTTAAAAACCCACCACCACACGCCCCCGTACGTCAGTAGTGTAGACGCCAGGGAGCGACATGACTGCATGGTGAGGCGGGATAAGGGAGGTAAGTGTGATCGTGATTATCCAGATCAAATATAATCCGGTTAGAACCAGAGCAGTTTAACCCGCTCTCAGCATGCCATCTGACTGCACCCACAGAGTGTTTAAACGAATCTATTTACAAGATTAGGGCTAATCCACATACTACTATTCTACAAGAACTTTCTCGTGGCTTTTTGCCATTATCCTGTATCATGTCTACCTCATGGCCCATTTGGACACATGGAAAGACTATGAATATATACTATTCTCCACCATGAGGGAAAGAAACAACTGATACATGAATTCAGAAATATCACACCTGATTAGTCAAATAGCCATGTAACATGGAGGAAACATAGAATGGCACCAAATACCTATTGAAGTACATTGTCATTACTGCTGAGTTATAAATATGAAAAAAATATTCATGTTTTCTGATATATAGAGAGTGCATCAATGGAGTCTTTGGTTGTCTGTTTCTTCTTCTTTTTATTAGGGGAAGGTGACAACTGGTCAATTTAAACACTGAAGGCTAGTCTCCAGTCTCTTGGGACAAATGTGGACAAGAGAGGATGACATCTGAACAGACCCAATAGAGATTGTTGTGAGACATGAGAAAGAGGAAGTTTCGTGATTTTACTAGGCAACAATTCCACTTGGGATTCAGAGGCAAGTGTCAATATATCTCCCTGGATTTTCTCTGTACCAAGTGCTTTTGACCTTGCAGGCTTTTCACCCAACAGCACGTTGCAGCATACTTCATGACATACAGCTGGGCCATTCTTCTGGGAAAGGTTACAGACTGTTCCTGTAACAGACTACATTAGTGGTGACAGACTGAATGGGTGGCTGTGATTTCAGGAAGAGCTGCCTCTGGTCAGAAAAATGACCTACCATGAAGAAGCTTAAAAAAACCAAAGAAAATTTCAAGTGGAAAGAACTCCTTAGAACAGATGTACAGAATACCAAATTTTTCATAAATACTTATATGTTAAAGACACATGTGTTGGAAAACACACACATACAGTTCTAAAAAACCCAAAGAAGATTCATAATAGTAACTTCAAGGTGGATTTTCCAACCTAAATTTTCCATTTTCTAGTATTTACTGCTAAGAGATATTGTATGCTTAAAAGGATAGCTTTAAAATTTATCAGAACAAATCCAATATTCACATGGATGGTTTAGTTTTTCTAGCTCAGGCATCACCTTATGAAAGCAGATTCCACCCCCACCCCCCAATCCCAATGGTGCTTCTCTGTAACTATAATCAAACAGAAATTTCTAAGTTAATCCTATGTTACATGGCAAATACACATCTGATGTGCATGCTAATGTTAGTAAGCAGAGCTGCAGTATTCTTTGGCAAGCAATCAAATGAAAGCAAAGCAGTACTAAATATTTGGTTTTTATTTATTCTGTTGCACAACTCACCCAAATTGCATATTTGAAGCAAGGCCCCAGCATGGAAGTATAGAATGAAAGAGATACAAACAAAACGACAGAGCAGTGATGAAAGATTAAGCTTAACAGCAAGGGAAAAGTCACCCTGGCACTTATTTTTGTTTAACTTCTGGTGCCAGGCATGCTTAGGAAAGGCTCTGCAATAATAGCAAGGACCACAAATCCATATATTGAATATAGACATTGGCAAATTTAGCAGTTTCTTTTAAACAAGCATGCATAAAGCACATGCAAAGAGAAGGTATGTGCACTTATTTTTCATATGTAATGAAACATTACAAAAGATAACAGAAGTAAGTATCCTTCACATTTTACATTAGAATAATGTGCTAGAAATGTACTTATTCCAGTAGAACACTAGGCAGAAAGACAGAGTCAGGTGGGTAGTTGTGTTGGTCTGAAGCAACAACAAAGTTTGAGTCCAGTAGCACCTTTAAGACCAACAAAGTTTAATTCTGGGTATAGGCAGGAAAATGTTTACAAATACCAGGAAATTTAGAGTGCCTTTATGTATCAGATAGAACTGGTAACAGAAATGGAGGGAGGCGTGTTAGTTTGGAAATGCTTTAACTCACCTGAGGGATCAAATGAACTGCCAGCAGGGGATGGGGAAGGAGTTGCTCCAAAAGCTGCTTCAAAATTGGGCTGAAGTAGACTAGCCTGGGCTGGTGTAACAGGGGAAGGTGATGGAGATGGGGCAATAAGAGAACCTCCAAAGCCTTTAACAGGTGAAAGAGCCAGGAGTGAGTTATACCTTTAAGTCAACAGGTGCACATTCAAATATATCAAAATACATACATAATTCCCTTAAGCAGAACTTCATGAACAGCTCGGGAAGGCACATGTGCCTCCTTGACTCATTCTCTTGTATTACACCTCTTCTATATCTTGAGTGGCCAAAGCTGCCCCTCGGCTACCATCACCACCCTCAAATTTAGCAAATATAGGTTTCATGGATAGCCATCGCCCATCCCATCAGTTGTGGTTCACCAGTACTCACTCTTGAAGGATAGAATGCGAGCATGTCCCAGAAAAAACTTTTACTTCCTGAGCAGTGGGGTGCTCTCTATGGTAACTCATAACCCCAGTTCTGAAGAACTCCAAGTTTCCCACACTTCTACAGTATGGAGCAATTGTGTAACCACCCATGGGCCAAAAACCGAAGCATGAATGTTGGCAAGCCAGTTTTCACACAATGCTGAAGGATGGTTTATAGTAACAATTCTGCTCAACCAAGGGCCAAGCAGAGGCTGCATGTGCTCTTTCCAAGTCCTGCAGTGCAGTTTCTGTGAGAAAAGCAATTTCTTCTTAAAGTTACAAAACCATGTTTACAAAGTTAGGTTGTATGTTCGTTTCTTTGGCTGCCACGTGAAACTGGGTCATATTAGACAATGGACACAGATCTTGTGTTGTATTTATATTCTACCATTCTTCCATGTCACTCAAGGCAAATTCCAGACTGTTTCTGAGCATTCTCCCATGCAGACACTGGCCAGTCTTCAGAACTGCTTTACCTCTGAGAAGAAGATAATTCATGTGCCTTCACACTATGTCTTACATAGATGTGTGCAACATTCCTTATAGAGTAGTGCAATTGTCTTTTAACTTTTTTGAAGACCAAAGGCATTTGACTAGAGATCAAATTTGACTAGAGGTGAAAGGAGCAGTTAACCCTGCAGGGGGGATTTAATTGAAGAAGCAGCAATTTTTAATTGAAAGAAGTCCCATGGAAAAGGGTTAAACTCCACTCACAATGGCAGTGTCCTGAGGCACATTTTCATTTTTAAAGAATCAGAATAGTGCATGTATTTTATCCATCTATGGATCCAAAGTTAAGAAAAGCTAATTTGAGACCTTGAAGTACAGCCTAAAATGTAATGCTGCTTTGGATTTGCCTACTTTTCATGAGGGTTAACTGACATGTTACTAGCTTTGCTTTTCTAGCAGCAGGGTCAGCAGGCAATAGGTAGCCCAAAAGGAAACTCTTGCTGAAAGCATTCCGGTTCTTGTGGAAGACAGTGACATAAATAGTGCCCGTCTTGAGATTGGTTAAAAAAATACACAGACTGTAGAACGTAACACTCATGACCAACATGCAACTTCGTTGGTCTTAAAGGTTCCACTGGACTCAAACTTCATTTTCCCGTTCTCTGTTAAGAGTTGTATGCGTACAGTGAATGCTGCTTCAGAAAAGGAAATTCCCTCACGTTACCTCAGTTCTAGCCCAATTATTTTTACATGTAAGCTATGTCTCAAGTTGTCCACCCAATTACCAAGACTGTGTTGAATTATTCTTAGTAGTAAATATTAATCATTTGTTAATATACTAATTTCATGCCTAAATGGAGTAAATCAGAGCTGAAGAAGTCTGCCAAGCATATCATAAACTTGTAACTAATGGCTTGAATCCAGGGAATCTCCATATATGTGATGTCACGTGAGGGCAATTTTTGCTAATTCCTCCCTCCACACATGCTGTTCTTGGGTGTTTCCATCCTCCAGGAGCAACATTACAGTGGACATTTTGGACTGCACTGTGTGTGTGTGGGAGACATGGAAACAACACTTCTTGGGTGGTGATTCCTTCTATCCACAGACATTTCCTGGTGGATCCAAACCACAGAGCTATTCATTCCAGTCACTAGAACAGAGAAATATATTTTTCTATACCCCCAAAAGAAATTGCAGCATGCTGGGTTGAGTTATCCATATTACTAGTATAACAAGCACTGTCCCGCCTCCCTCTCATCCTGCAGCCCATCGATCCTTCCAAAATTTTGCTCTGAGGGGTCAGAGGACCCTCATGAATAATATAACCATTAGCCAAGTCCAAGTCTGCACTGGGAGGAGGGAAATTCAGCCCCTCCTCCCCAAATCACCCTCCATCCTCCACCCATATAAGTGCCATTCCACTAGCAGAAGAGACCTTTGGATTCAATTTTCAAGAGTTTTCCAGAAAAAACTACTTTATGAAAAAATAATCAGACCACCACACTATTAAAAACTGCCACCACACTACTAAAAACTCCACGTAATTGTTCCTTACCAGCTAACAGGTCAGCAGAAGCAGAGGAGCCAGAAGCTGCTTGGGATGCAGGCTGGGGTTCAGGAACACTACTTCCAAAAGCATCTACATGTTTTCCATGAGGCAGCAATAGAGACAAAAGGGTTTGACAATCAATATATTAATTCATAATCCTGGAATAAAACACAACAATGGCTACAACCAGAGGAATGACCATTGGTGATACAAGGCCAATTTCAAGCTCTGTCGTGGTTTAGTCTGCATATCATTTGATTAAAAAGAAACCAAAGAAAGGACCCAAAAAGATAACCCTTTACCAAGTGGCAGTTACCGTGCCCTACCTTGCATGCAGTATAACATGTAATCACTTTTTAAGTCTTACCACATTTCTGCATCTGAATAGAAATCCAGAGATGCAATAATATTTGTTTGATTCCTTGGCAGGCAATACAGAAGCCAGCTTACTCCCACAGCAGTAAGCTACCATTTGTCAGGTGGTCACCCAGCAGTTATTTTTTGAAGTTCAAGGTTAATATGAGCTTTATCCAGAGAAACTGCACACCCAGCCACATATGCCTGCTATGCAATCAAAGGGTCTATGAATGCAAGTCATTCCAGTCATAACTGGAAAGCTCCCACTGTACTCCCACAGAGCAAATGGCTCTCAGTGTCAATAGTCTCTAGACAGAGGCCCATTTGTCTACACAGAACACAGCCCCTGGCCAGACTTGTAAAGAGGCTGAAGAACATACAGAAGATTGTGGATGCTAACATTTTGGAAAGGAAAAGTTTCACTAATGTTTTTTATCTTCAATATTTCTAACAAACTTTTAGCGAACTTTGAGTGCACTGCCAAACAATGTGTGAAATCTACATCAGTTCTGCTAATTCTGAAATTTTGCCACCTCCAAAGAACATCTCTTCTTATACAGCTGACATGCCAGCAGCAATATATATCTTTTTCATGCCTGAGATTTCCCAACTGTTGCTAATGTACTAATCTGAGGTTGTTTTGTGTGTGTGCGTGCGCGCGTTTAAATTGCAATAATAGATAGAACAATCTGGCTTGAATTATCAGTTTCAGGCATAAAGCAATAAAATAGTTTGTAATTTATACTTGACCACATTATGCAGCTATCTACACAGATTATAACTGAAAGAACATTAGACATTATGTCATAGTACAAGCATAAATTCAGTTCTTAAGGGAAACAGGAAAATGACCCCTAAGAAGTTTAATGCTTTTTATATTGGAATCCATGTAAGTGGCATCATCTTCATCTCTTCCAATTTTAAAACAATTCCAAACCCCATTTCTTACAACTACTTTGAAATATTAGGCAGCTGGTAACAGAAACAAATAGAAGCATCACTGCTTAGTAAAAACAACAATAATTCTATTACTTGAGCAAGAAAGCAATTTTCATGCATGTAATGGTGATAAAGATAATGATGACAGGTGACCAGACTTAGACAAAGTTTTCTAATGTATGTGGTTAAAATGCAATATATACAGCACTGCCAAAAAAAAAAATTAACCGCTAGCATGGAAGTAGAAGTGAATGGAGCAGAAATGAAAAGGGAAATTCTGTAATGGTGAGACGGAGCAATACCCACCACCAAATAGGTCAATCACACCTGACGGATCCACTTTAGCTGGGGAAGCAGTGGGCAGGGGCGATGGTGCTGCAAATGCATCCACTGCAGTAAGCATGACAATATTTAGTATCAGCAAATCAGGAATGATGAGAGCCAACTACTTTAAATCCACACTATCACAGCAGGTCTTCAACAATACAGTGACCGTATTATTTCAAAATATAAACACAAGTGCCCTTCATATTTTTTCCTCATAGTATTCAAAAATCCTAGGTTTTTGTACTCTAGTTTAAATGTTGGTAATAGACTACAACTTCAAGGTCATTTAAGGTTTGTTTGACCCAGCATGGATGTTATCAGGATGTCGGGGGGGGGGTCTACTTGCCCACAGCACTGTGTAACTCTCAGCTTTCTCCTAGTCTTCCCTATAATCTGTTCCAAACCTGCTTTGCTGTAGTGATTTGGGAAAGCACACAACAAAGCCCACAGCAAAGCCAGGTTGGCACCTATACTGGTGAGAGAATTCGGATCTTCCTGGGCCCATCCCTACCTGGTGCCATGTTCCCTGTTCTACTCCCCCCATAGTCATTCCACCCCCACTGATGGAGGCTTTTAAATCCACAGTATATTACTGTAGCATTATAACTTTATACAAATCCAATCTCATTCTCTGAATTCCCAGCTTTCATTTTTCAAAAAAGCAAATATCTAACCACTTTCGGTGAAGAGACATGCCTTTCCCCTTATGTCTCCTCTATAAAAAGGGCCAGAGACTTGCTTTTTTTTTTAAAAAAAAAAGGAAGCTGGGAATTTAGAGAACCTGATAGTTTTTAAAAATAGGTTACAAATTTTTGTTAATTACTGATTTAAAGAAGTGAAAAGACCCCCCCCCGCCCCCCCTGATTCAGGGGATAGCCACCATGACAGACTGGGGTGGGGAAAATGCAGGGAAAGCTGCTGTAGAAGCCCCACTGCCACTCTGCTGCACTGGCAACAGCAATGGGGAATCTATACAAGCCCATCCCTATGTGGAACACACCTAAAGTACAGGTTTTTTGACCTTTCAAAACATGATTTTAGTTGACACTGCTTAAGGCCATTATCAAACTGATACTAAATCAAGCATTCTTCTCAAATTCCAGATTCAGCCAGATGGTTCACCTGAGCTTTCTGCCTTTTCTCCCTGTGCACATAAGGAAGGCAGGAAAAGACCCACAGATCTACAATCAACATAGCAGAAATGAAATTTGAAGACTATTCAGGATCCAGGCAGGAAGCATAGTTTCTCCACCTGACCCTAGAACAAGACCTTAGTTGTGACTGTGATACCACTTTCCTTTCCAGATGCTGTCTGAGCTAGAGATTAAGCCAGGGAAGGAGAGAAAGCTGGGTAGTTTCATGTCCCCAGCTGGAACCATACTGTACTCTGGTTGTGAAAATTGGGGGGGGGATTCCCTCTTTGTATCTCTTTTAATTTTTCTCTTCAACACAGACTTGACCTTGTGGGCATTACTTCCTAAAAACAGTCTACCACAGGGACAGGCAACCCCTATTACACCTGCCAAACAACAGCATGTCAGACCATTTTGCTCAGTACATAGGGCTGGTTCTCTGCCCAGGCATACTCTGAGGTGCTGGTAGCAATTTCTGGGGCCAGCAGCACAGGAAATGTGACAGGAATCACTAATGCCTACCACCACCTCCTGGATTCACATAGACAGCAGCTGGATCTGAGGAGAGTCCCTGAGACACTGCCTCATGTGCCTGGCCAAACATAATCCCAGTCACCCCTACTCCTTTTGTTTACCAGTTCATCCACATCTTCAAAGGTAAACGTTATGGGGGTGGTAGAAGCACTTGGGCCGAAAGGTCTGCCTAACCCCTGCTGTAGTGCTAGCAACCCTCTGCCCCAAGAAATAATCTGTGAAACTTTCAAACTGAGCAACTGTTCTAACATTGAGCATTACATCTGAAGTCAGTTAAAACAAGATTTCCAAATTTGAGATAAAAGTGGGGGAAGGGGAAACACTGTGTTTTATCTGCCCACAGAAACCTCTTGCGTCTTATCTATGCAAACCACTCCCTGACCCAGAGGGAGCAAGTCTACATATACAAGTCTCTCAGTTGTCTTTCTCAGAACTACATAATCTCAGTCCACTTGAGGTAGGGTCTGCTTTGGATGCCCTGCTCCACATACCTTACCTTCAGTGACTGGGAACAGGACCTCTTCTTTAGTAGCACTCTATTTATGGAATGCCATCCCCAGAGACATTCATTTCAGGCATCACTTAGTGCAGTATTCTCCCACACATATGACAAATATCTGCCTTTCTGCTTCCTGCTGCTACTGTTGTAATGCACTTAAGCACTGTGTTGACACTATACTAGTTGTTCCGTTTATTTCACTGGCTGTAAGATACCTTGGATATTTTTTAAGGGAAAGGGAGGGTATACGAGTATTTTGGGTGTGCTCGGGAAGGGGAGAGGCATGCCAGATTGTGCCCTCTGGCCCTGCCTCTGAAGTCTGTGTACTGAAGGCCTCTAAAGTCTATCTACATATCAACTGTTTGTACATTATATACCCTGTAAAAACTGTAAGGTACAAACTGTAAAGTTAAGCTCAATATGTTCATTAAGGGGCAGCTAGTAGGTATGATCTCATTCCATGACTAACAGCCCCATTCCATGACTAACAGGACTGCTATCACACTAGTACTATTTGTTTTTTCATGTATATATGCAGCATGATCTTAAGCATGTTTTCTTAGAAGTAAGTCTCACTGCATTCAGCAGGCCTTGTTCTCTCATAAGTGTCCTTATGATGGTAGCTTTTAGTTTTATAAATTACTTCACAGTCATTGTTACCTCTATACTTCTGGAAGGCTGATCATTTTTTTCCATTATACAGAAGGGGAGTTTGTTGGATATAAACAAGCTTAAAGCAGCCCAAGAATGTATGGCTAGAAACAGGGACCCAGCTGTAAGGATTTCATTAAACTGACCTCCTGGAATCTTCCACAGTACTGGAGGCCTAGTTGAGTGAATTGGCCTAAGTTCTTAAGTCATCCATGATGAGATGCTTAAAATTTAACAGTTTTATTTACCACTGAACTCAAGGCCACAATCAACAGATTCCTAGAAAGTCTCCCCATCCAGTTACTGATCAGATCCAGACCTTCTGCTTTTATTGCTGGATCCTTTGCTTTCCAGCCCTACCTTGGCCCAAGTTCAAAACTGAGTTTTTGAAGTACGTTTCAGTTATGTTGCTTTCTGCACAATGAAAATTTTGCACAATGAAAATTTATGCCAACATAACAAGCACTCACCAGATAACAGATCACCAGTGAGAGAACTCTCAGGCACAGGAGAAGCTCCAGTTGGTGGAGAGCAAAAAGCATCTTCCAGAAGTAAAAGAAAAACCAGGAGAAAGTAAGTGAAGGTTTTGAGAGAGAAAAATATATAATTAACATGTCACAAAACCAGCCAAACTGGTGTGTGTGTGTGTGTGTGTGTTAGAACTATTAGAAAAAGAAGAATGGGATATTATAAAGGAAAAATTGTAATACTATTCTTTACCTGTACCAAACAGATCTATGCTAGGAGTAGCATCTGGCTTAGGTGCTGCAGGGGCTTCAGTTGATGTAGACTCAAACAAATCTAAGATCAAGAATACACACACACACACACATATATATATGTCTTTAACTCATTTCTGGAAAAACAGGACTTTTTTTTTTTGCAGCTCCAATCTGGAGAATGTTTATTCTTCAGATAATAATTGTCACATACAGTATACATGCAAAAAGATTGTTTGCATATGCTGTACATTTGAGATCAATTAACTGAAGAACAAAATAAAAAGAGTTGAAAACAATTACCACCAAAGATATCTAGAGCAGGAGGAGGAGCAGAAGAGGTGGTGGTAGTAGTGGTAGTAGTAGCAGACGTGGTAGCAGTGGTGGTAATGGTAGTAGTGGCAGCAGTTGTAGCAGGGGCTGCAGGAGCAGCAGCCGCAGCTGGAGTAGGAGTAGTTGCGGGAACTGGAGTGGCTGCACTAGTTGTAGGGGTAACTACAGGAACGCTGGTCTCAGTTGGCTTCATAGCAAAGAGGTCCAGCTCAGGAGCAGCCTCTGCACTGCCTTCAGATGGGGCAAAGGGGTCTTGTAAAAAGGAAAGGGCAGAATATATACATAGGATCAGTAGGGAAGGAAATTGGGAGAAAGCACACATACTGTGGGTTAAAACCACACACACAGATAAAGTACAGTGCAGCGCACACACACAGACACACACACTTCTCATTCCATTAGTTTCCTAATGGATAAATCCAGCCTTTTGTCTGTCCTAAAAAAGGGGTATTTTATTATATTAGGATTACTTCTGAAGGTTTAGCAACACCATTATAAGAGGCTGGAAAACAACTGGTCAGTATAAGCCAAACAAACAAAAGATACATTAGTAGAAATAGTGCCTAACAAAAATGGCACAACACACTGCTCTGGATTTTCAAGATTTGGGAATTCTCTGGGCAAAGTAGCATCATCACTCAAACTTTAATAAGGACGCAAACATACTGCCATGTAGTTCAGTTTCAACAGTACAACAAACACAACAATGACAGACTAGCTAATGAGATGGAACCCACCATTTCCTGAACATGCATCAAGAGCTGCGGCTACAGGGGTTGGGGTAGCTGGTGCCGCTGCCCCTTCAGGTGCTGCCGGGGCTTCACCAGGAGAAGCTGCAAAGGCATCTTGAGTGCAGTTTTAGAAACAGAAAATTAAGAAGAATAAAAAAAGAAGAAAATATAGTAAAAGAACCAGGTTAAATGGCATACAAGATTCCCTTATACAAATCGGAGGGTGTTCTGGGTTTGTTTGTTCTGCAGATGTCAACAGATTGTAAAATAAAATCAGGAACTAAAATTTCTTCAACCAATTTGTTTATCCTAGGTGAGATTACACACTTAGCCTTACAGGCAAGACCATACATCTTAAACAGAAAACGGTGATAAGATGTTCATTGTATAAGGGTTCTGGACAGCATGCTTATGTAACCTCCAAAAAATGGGAAAACGAACAAACTAAAGATCCTCTAGAAGAAGGAGAATAAACCAGTATCATATAGGACATTAAACTTTCCTATTTGGTGAGCCTGTCTCATACACATAGTCATTGTAGACCTTGGGCACTTCCTAAAATTTAATATTTATATTATGTTAATAGACTTCAACTACCCACAGCTCTTCCTGACTTACTGGAATATGACACTTGCAATACATGTAGACTTGTAATCAAAATCTTTTGCATACCCAATTAGTTGTGTTCATATCCCAACAGTTAGCAGACAGTTCCCTAATGGCTTATGTGGGAAAATGTTACACCAAGAAAATAGGGACTAACTCAATAAATTCCAGCACTGTTTCAACTGCTTCATTTTAAAGTTACATAGCCCAAGGTTGATACTAGTTGCCCACCTCTTTTCCTCTCCCTTTTACCACTCTCATCTCAAAGACTGACAGAGACTGCTCGTAATCACACCACCAACAAAACATGAACTCATAGGTCATCAAGTATGCCTTTTCACAACAAGAAACATTACTATCTCAAAAACCGTCCATACTCTGTCCTTCACCCAGAAGTAATGCAAGACTGATTTATAGGAACAGGATGAAGCCTAGAACTCCTTGGTATGTTGTAAGCTGCCCCAGGAGCATTGCCACTTCTGCAGAGTGTATGTTCCCAGATATGATAAATCTTTTTATATAAAATTAAACTGTATTTTAGACACAGTTCATTGTAATGAATAGAGACACTGCTCTAGGCCATGTATTTCTATGTGGAGAGGACAGACAAGGTAGGTTTGCTTAGAGCAGTTCCGTCAGCTGCCTTTGTGCTAACAACACGTGATGTTATAAAAAGGCAAGATACATTTCCTAAAGATAATCTTTGCAAGCAAGCAATGTCACTGTTGCCATGAGAGATATGCCGGTTTTACTTTCTTCCAATTTAACTTAATGTCATTGTCCAGACTGAAGTGTGTCACAAGATTCAACTAGGTTGGTAAGTATAATGCCTCATCACCTCTAGGCAGAGCTTGACATAATATGTTCAAGTCATGGGTCAACTCATATTTACAAATTCATGTCTGTTTCAGAGTTGCCCTTGATGTCCACCAGTGATTTAGGTCTCTTTTCTCATTGGCTTATAAAAGTGTTCACTGACTTCTAGAAGAATGATCCATCATACGTAATTAAAATGTGGTAGCAGTAGGAGACTACTATAGTACACCGACAACATACAGTGGGTGTACAGAACAAATAATGAAAATACTTGTTTTTTTAATGAAAGATAATTTCTCATAAAATTAACCCTTGAGAATATGAACACCTAATTCAAGAAGTTGTTACCACTTGACCCTGAAATGATCTCTATTCTCCCCATTTCACATGTTTCAAAATAGTGGCAAGTCTGGGACATGTAAAGAATAATTTCAAATTAATGATCCCAAATAATGGTTCTGAAGGTTAAAAGCAGACCAGAATTAGTAATATTTGAGTTTACAGCTATAAGATAAATTAGATAACAAATGGCAGCCTGATGTTGAAAGGGTGATTTCTGAGCATATACATTCTTACGCAATGTTTTCAAAACAAATAACTTGCCATTATTCTTCGCCTCGGAAGTCCTTAAATGACTGCATTCCAGTGTAAATTACTCTCCCCATCCTAGCTAAGAACCCTATGATCAAGATAGAATATGTTCAAAGAACAACTTCCTATACAAGCTGAAGAAGTAAAAGGAAGATAGTTGTGTTTTTCATGTGCTTTCACCCCGGGCTCATTACTAGAAGCCAAACATGCTGCCTAGAATAGGCCACGTCCATTCTGTGCTGTTTCTCAACACTCTACTTGATTGGCAGAAGAACACCTGAGCTGAAGCTGCCTACAAAACTGTACAGTGCAGCTGAGAAACACAGGAATACCATTGTCAGTCCTTGTACTTGGAGCCATTGAGAGATGGTCATAGGAAAGGAGAGGGGCCTAAAGGAAAATTACAAGCTGGGTTGTCGGGTTGCAATCTGCAGAACCCTCCCGTCTCTTTAACAGCCCATCAGCAGAGAAGGGAAAAGCAGCTGCTGTTTTCCCTGCATCTCCTGGCACAGTATCACCATCTATCCTCCATTATTATATCGCAATATACTGCACAGTGTTGCTCCAGCAGATCTGAGGTGCAAGGGGGCAGAGACTAGAAGAGAAATAGAAAAGCAGCCATGGCTGTGGAGCTGTAAAATACAAGACATTCTCTAGGTTGCAACCCAACAACTTTCCAGATGCCACGTACCATCTAGAAAGAAAAATAAAGATTGCAGGTGTGATTTCTTCAACATAGAAAATTTTGCATGCTGTTAATACAAGGTATGTAACACTTCTTAGAATGAAAATGCCCACACAAAAATATTGATGCCAACTATTCTAAAAAGCTCATGTTGACATGCATCTGAACTACAACAAAGCAAACTAAAGCTGGTTTTAGCTCTGCTGAGGAGCTAAAGAGCAACAGGAAATGGGCCTTGCCAATTTTTCAATATGCTGAAGTTGCATTTTTTTTAAAAAAAAGACAGCTTCATTTATGAGGACACACTATGGCAAACTGCATGGCAGCTGTCCAACAATCTGAGAACAGTTCAATTACAAAAGTGTTCAGGTAAGTTAGGAAACACTTTTCTTTTTAAAAAAGCAGTATAAGATTGGAAGACTCTAGACATGGATGATTTCATAGCTGTTGTATAGGTCACATTTTGCTTACCTGAGCATTTTCTTAATCAGTAGCATGTTCTATATATGGTGTACATTTGGGAAAATTGGTGCTCCTGAAAAGCTTTCTTTTGATAAACACTGTATTTTGGAACTGAACTTTTGTAACAAAATGAAGTTTCCTTCCCCATGCAGCACAAACACATTTCCCAGGAATGGAGAATAATTTATGCTGCTAGAGGCAGCTACTGCTGTGTCAGCACCAGGTTTGTAGTAGAGTCAAGTACCAATACCAGCTGTTCCTTCATGCGTACTGCAGCTTTTATCCTTAGTGTAGGGATAGGTGGGACCTGGGGATCCCTTGGAATTATAGCTCATATCCAGACGACAGAGGTCAGTTTTCCTGGAGGAAATGGATGCTTTGGAGGGTGGACTGTATGGCATCGTACCATGCTGATTTTCCTGTCCTCCCCACACTCCACCCCCAAATCTCCAAGAAATTTCCTAATCTGGATCTGGCAACCCTACTCCCCCATCCCCCCACTGGTGACCAGGGGGACCTGGCAACCCTACTTTAAGTGCAAGGTTTTCAGTGCCAGTGAAACTGCTGTGGCTCAAATGGACCACAACAGGTAACCAAGATATTCACCACAGTTGCAAAGTAGGGCTTCAGCAAGGAGTCCCAAAAGGCACATTCCTTTCTCCCCAAACAACGCCACTTCACACAAACAGACCACCATGCAGAAGTTGCCAAAAACTACTTTGGAGGCGACATACTACTCAGTTTGCAATATGTATGAGATTCTGACCATGTGATCATGGTTTTAGGGTAGAGCTAGGTGACAATGCAATAATATGAAGTGTGTCCCCATCAGAACAACATGTTCCTGGCAGCTACTGGTACCGGTGTGTAGAGTCACCGGTCAAATCCACATGTGTGTTTCTTGCCGGTTTCCTGACATTTTCGCTCCCGTCCCCCAACAAACTGTCTACATTTGCATCCAGTTTCATGCTGGCAGTGCCAATATAAAAATTAGTGTCTGCATGTCTCCTGCCCTCTGGTAGTGACTCCATTGTCATAGCTGCTCCGCACTGGTTTAATGAATGCTGTTCTTTGCTGCTCTAACCCCTCCTTTCTGGTTTCGTTGCGCTGTCAACCTAATGCAGACATTTTTGAGCCGTTGCTCTGCTAATTCTTAAATAATTCCAACTGGTGGCGCACAATAAACTAGGCGGTAACTCCTGGGAGTGACAGAAGTGTTCTGGGAATGGAATGACAGGCTCCGGAGTGGAATGACAGCCCGGGGGGGGAGGGTAGCAGGAGTGTTCTGGAACTGGAATTACAGGCCCCAGAGCGGAATGACAGCCCCTGGGGGTAGCAGGAGTGTTCTTTGACTAGAATGAGAGATCACGGAGTGGAATAACAGTCCCTGGGGGTAGCAGATGTGTTCTGGGACTGGAATGACTGGCCCCAGAGTGGAATGACAGCCCCTGGGGATAGCAGTTGTGTTCTGGGAGTGGCATGACAGGCCCAATGGTGGAATGACATCCCCTTGGAGTAAGAGGAGTGTCATGGAACTGGAATGCCAGACTTATCATTACAGTCCCAGGACACATCTCCTATCCCCTGGGCTGTCATTCCACTCTGGAGCCGGTTATTCCAGTCCCAGAATACTCCTGCTAACCCCAGGGGCTACCATTCCACTGTGGGGCCTCTCATTCCAGTCCCAGAACACTCCAGTAACCCCCAGGGGCCATCTAGTGATGAACAATAGATTGTGATTGGGGAACTGAAAAAAAGACAAAGTGGACAGCTCCCCTAATGCTAACTTAAAAGCAGAGGCGCAGCAGTTCTAAACTACATGGGATAACAGCGGCACCAAGCTGATTCTAAAATGCATATGTAGATTCGGCCACCATGTGATCAAGCCAACAGATAATACTGGCATAAATCATTGTCCTCTATGTGAAGCACTATGCTGGGCTGCAATTTATGAAGCTGTTCTTTGGTGTCCTACTTTGTATTTTCTAGTTATTCACTGTTCCTCTAGAATTTTTTATCTCATGGACACAGAATTTTATAGCCTTGTCTTCTCTTTTCAATCACTCTTTTCTGATAATATCGCTGTTCTCTTAGCCTAACTTATTTATAACCTCTGAGTAGATTATCTTGGTGTCACAGGGTAGTTAGAATACTGAGAATTCTGTTGAGAATCCCTAAAATCCTTCACAGAACAGTAATTCCTCAGTCAGAAGTATGAAAATAATTCAAGCCTGTAGCAGAACAAAGTTCTACTTTGTCCAATGGCACCTTTAAGACCAACAAAGTTTTATTCAAGGTGTGAGTTTGAAAGGAGATGGATGGGGTCCAAGGACGGGATTCTCACAAATTAGGGCACATCAATCTCCAGTTCTAACATATTTATTACCTGTGTTGTTCTCCCCACCCCCCCAGCTGAACCAAAAGAGATGATAACCAGGAACTAAGCCTGTCATTCTTTTGATCTGCTAAAAAAGTGTCCTCACTATTTTGCATGCTAATTTAACAAACTACTCCTATATATACAACTATGATATGTAATTCCATTTCATCGTCTGATGAAGGTTTTAGATTTCTGTGCAGAGCCACTATTTTAAGTCTATTATTCCACTGAGGAAGAAGCCATCCTTTTCTGAAGAAGCAAAGAAAAGCAACTTGCAACATTTCAGGCTCTCCTTATCTTTCAGTTAGGAGTTTGTGGAACATACTCCACAAGCATCTCATATTCTATGTATATTAGGGGGAAAGTAAGCTGTGTATATGGAGAGGAATGAATAGCTGAAGAAAAAAGAAAATGAATATTGAAAGCTCTGTAGATAATAAATGTTACATTAAATTAAAAGTTTACACTCCTTATTTTGGCATGGCGTTAACCAAACTGTGAACTGTGGAAAGTCTGAGCAAATTAGATCATATCCCTCTGTTAGACCCAATAAGGCATACTACACATTTTGAAAGAAGTATGCCGTATAATTCAGAGGAAAGGCTGAATTACAGAGACCAGGCAACTTGATTCCCAGGTCAGAGAGGTCCACCTAGTGCCTTTGTTGTGGGCATGTAGACAGAAGGCAGTTTATTTTCTCATGCCCTTAATCAATTTATCAGTTTTGTTGGGTTCTGATCCTTTCCTAGTTAATTGCTTTTGTTTTAGAGTCAAACTGAAGTGAGAATGCAGTCACAGATTTCAACGTTATCGTTGAAAGCTCAGTTTCAGCTATCTGAAGGCTCATTTTGGATCTGGGGCATGAAAGAAGAGCAGACATGTTTTTGCTAACTAAAAATTGGTTTCCATTTGGAAATCTAACAACAGTGTCAAGGGGGCAGTAGTTCCAATTAACACAACCAAGTGGGATTGCAAGGGTTAAAACCGTCTCTGGCCTCCCCACACAGCCCCAATCTCACTTGAGCTTTATACAGCTGTAGCTGAGAGCAGCTGAGTCTTATCTACCTGGATTTTCAGTTAACCCTTTTTCTTGCTTAGGTGATTTTAATGCTAATTTAATAACTCTTAATTTTGATACTGCAACCCTTTTTTCAATAATTGTTTTAAAAATATTTCTATTGCGCTTTCTCATAATATGGGAAATATATTTCAGCATTTCTCTCCTAATGCCTTGCACTTTAAATCTGGATGCTCCATTCTCGGCCTTTACTGGCCCCGCGATCATTCTGGAAGAGTGCGCATTACAGAAGTAAGTAGCTATACCACTTAGCTGAAAAGAGAATCTAGCTCACAGGAGAGACTGACTGTTGCACAATGATACACATATTTTAATTAACTCCCTGAGTATGCCAACTCAAGGGCAACTGGATCAAGTCATAACACTTTTCGTCCCTAGAGCAATATGGGTTCTGTGAATTCCGCACATGGGAAAATGCAGTGCATTAATACGAGTGAAACTTCTTCCCATAAACTATGCTTCAGGACAGATTAGAATTTATGGTACATAAAAGAAAGAACTGAAATATGAAAGTCACACAAAATATTTCCATGGAGACTAACTCCCAGGAATGATTCTCTCTTGAAAATTTAAATCGGTGCATTGGCCTCTACGGAAGCTTATAGTTAACCATGAGCCCCACATTTTGTCCAGCAAGACTACTGGATGGTTCTAACAGTGCTCTCTCTCTCTCCCCCACCCCCGCTGGTGAGTGTCAAAACTAGAAAGAAATGCCAAACAGCCAAACTAACCTCCAAAGAGATCCACTTCAGAAGCAGCAGCACCAGCTGTAGTTGTAGCAGAAGCAGAGGCTATTTCAGTAGTTGAAGCAGTAGCAGCTGGACTGGGTTCTGGTGCAAATGGGTCTGAAATCTGTGGCTCAGAAGTAACGCTGGAAAGCGCAGCCAAACTGTCTACATGTGTCCATATATAAAGATTAAACGGAAACAGTAAGCAGAAGAGGAAAGAGGGAAAATACCAACGAACACTAAATTGCCGAAAAAGACTAGAGAGACTAGGCTAGTTAAGTATTAACAATTCTCAAATCAGAGAATTGGTTTAGAAATCAAGCATTACTCACCCTCTCCCAAAAGGTCTGCAACATTGTCCATTAGAAGACAGCAATGTAAAGAAACAAGAGAGTTAAATAGAACTGCCAGAGTCAACATGCATGCTATCCAGAAGTCATTCTCTGCCAAGGGGGGCTAGTTTCAGTCAACAGGATGCTGCTCTAAATCCAGACATGCCACAGGTACCTTGCATATGGTTTTATATGATGCAGTCTGCTTTCCTTTTCCAAAGCTCCTAAAAACAAAGACTTCTTAAGTGCTTGAGACTTCTCCAAACCTATCACTACAAAAGCTTCATTTAAGCACATTCACCTTTAAAGAGTTAAGATCATTTTATACAATTCCTAGTTTATATGCCTTTTCATTTTTTACTACCAAGATTTAAGACACTGCTGCTTTCTGCCACAATTATACTCAAAGAGACATAAAGTAATATCATGAATAATAATTCCTAATCCAGTTGGCAGCAAACGTTATTGAACTTTTTAATGAATTGAAGTGCTTACTGAGACAAGTGCAACTTTGTAAAGACCACTGATAGAATAGTTTTCATCTTTTTTCTTCTAATAAAAGCCATCACCAATAAATGCCTTTAAACCATCATTTATAGACAGCACAGTGTCTTCAGAAAGAACATGCCCTCTGTTTATATGCACAGCTGTGATACAGTGCATTTCTAAATGGGTATCAATGCTGAATGCAATGGAGTCATCCACATAAGAGCATCTTGAATACTACTGAAGCAAATGGATTTTTCTCTGGTTTATATTTTAAGTTTGCACTGTCTACCTGAATATTTCAGGCAAGTGATCTAGATATGTCTGAAGATCAATCCCTCCTCCATGTTAAACAAATTAGACATAGTTGCCTCATTCCCACAAATTCATCCACAGGCTAAGCAGCCACAGATTTTACAAGATCATTTACAGTTACATTTTTAGCTAAAGAATTTCATATGTAACAAAACATTGGAAATAGATAGGTTACTGTATCAAAGTAGTTAAGAAGTTTTTCTACCACAACTTTAGTAATACCTCAGTAAATTTCCAGATTTATTTGCAGCAAGTGACAACACACATATGACAAACTGCTTGCTCATGCCCACTTTACAGACATAGTTATTTCTCCGGAACTAAATACTTATTGCCTTGTTGTTACATGCAGCTAGCCATGTCATCTAAAGACCTGTTTTGCTCCATTTTTATGATTCCTAATGACAGAAGCTACCCTTAGATTCAAAGGTGTTATGGGGCTGTCTGGACCAAACCCATATAGTCAATTTCATTTCTAAAGGAAGGGCGGGGTCTAAATCCAATCTCTTCTTCTTCTATTACCCATTGTATAAAACATCTTTAGAAGAACATCTTTAGAAATCTCTTTTTGTCTTCAAATGCAAGCGTATCACAGGTCCAGAACATGAATGCTCATTTAGACTTTTATAAATAACATTTTTTTAAAAAATCCTGGACAAAACCTATATTCCATCTACATACATACCTCAACTTCAAACAACCCCTTATCATTTTGTGAACTTTTTAGTGAATCGGTCCAGGTCACATACTTTACCTTTTCAATGACTAGAGATGCAGTCCTAAGAGCACTTTTCTGGGAGTAAGTCCTAGTGAATGAAACGTGACTTAATGTCACTTACGTCTGAGTAGACATGCTTAGGATTGCTTTCTAGATGTGTATGTTTCATGTTTTCAAGTCCACTCCTCTTACACTGTAGAAAATGCATTACCCCCATTTCCATTCATCAAATGGAGACAGTGTATTGATCCCAGGCTAGCACTTTATATTTGTTACATTCTGATGCTGGAAAAGACCTTAAGATGTTGCTGAAGCACCTGGCAAGTATGGCTGTATACCCATCCTATTTTTCCTATGGTGTGGGGAAAGGCAACAAATATTCAACCACGATGGAAATGTCAAATAGTACTCCCCAGTACTGTTATCAGGAACAATTTTTCAGCAAGGCTAGAAAGAATAGTGCACATATTGCTACCATAGGAATTTTCTGAAGTTCTCATGTTTTCTACTACAGCAACAGACAGGTGTAATTTTCTATTTAAAGTTCGGGAGGGAAAGCACTGAATGGGCATGTGAAAAAAAATGTAGGTGCCAACACGTTTTCTTCCTACAGCCACTTTACTATCTCTGCTGTCACAGCCTTTCACAAATGCACAACTCTGTATGCAAAAGGCAGATGCTCTGATGTGGAAGACAGTTCATGGGGAAACTTAATTTGGTACGTAACACTGGATGGTGGAGGAAAGGAAAAGTTCACAGAAGAGGAAAGAAAAAGTTTGCTGCTGTGGATGGATTACTGTCACATCTGAGAAAATGTTATCCAGTCGGCAACTCATCAAGTGAAACACACCCAACAGGCATGTATTGTGGCTCATTAGGCATTTGATGGAAACCTTGATTTTACAGTCCCAGGCAGACAGCAAAAACAATGTGGTTACAGAACACAACACACATCTAGCAGGCTGCACTGGACATTCTGTTAGGTACAGATTTCCAAGAATCAGTGTGTGTGTGTGGGGGGGAATGTTTAACTTGGTGAGTTCCATCCACAGATAACTTCAGCTGAAAGAAAATAGTTCCATGAGTGGAATGTGATTTCCTTGCATACCCTATCCCACTATAGCCTGAAATGCTCGCCAAAATTCTGTTCTTGGGAGACCAGGGACCCTAAGGAACAGCATGTGGTATAAACTAGGAGTTTAAGGAGAAAATTGACAAAAATGGTACCCTTCCTCCTGTTAGTGGAAATCTGCTGCTGGTTTCAACCAACAAAGGAAGGCATGCAGCTGACCAAGATACCACCCCCAATGATTAACTGAATGGACTGAAGGAACCTGTGAGCACAAATACTATCCAAAAGTCTATACCTCCTTTTTAGGTTCTCATGTATTCCAAGGGTTAATGTTCTTGGAAAGTATTAGAAAGTTTTTCGAGAATACTGGCAACCTTCACTATGGTTCCATACTACTGCATATTTAATACCAATTTAAGGCATTCAAGTTCTAAAAGTCACATTCCTTCTATTGAGGGACAGAATTAAAGCCCAACACAGCAGGGAATACAGTGCCGCTGTTAAAGGACAAGTCACACATAGAATGAGAACACATTGCAGATCAGCGTTTTATTACTCTAATGGAGATGCTGACTAGCAGAAATGGAGAACCACTTTGATTGAGCCATAGACTCAATCACTTGCCTGCTTGCCAGAATAAAAGCTTTAAAAAATATACTGGACTCTCAAATAGCACTTACAATTTTAACTTTAAAAAAAATTAAAAAGAATTAACTTTTTAAAAAATGAGCTGCAATACAGGGTGCTAATCTCAGTTTACTGATTCTACTTAAACACTGAGAAACTTACACTTTTCTTTAAAATAAACAAAACAGAAAAATCTTCAAAATTCTATAAAGATATATTTGCTGCATGTGACTTTTAACAGTGCTTGCCTGGTAACTACTGCTATTATAACATATATGTGTCTTTGAACCACTTTCAAAACTTAAGGAACAGTGAAAATAACTAGCATGATAAGATTTCTTCTGATACACTGTTCAGTTTTGCTAGTAGGACCCCCAAATTAAGAGTGTCAAGAAGTGAGATGCATTAGCCTGAATACTTCCACTACTGGAATACGATTCTGGCTTTGTATGGCTTTCCTTAAAAAAAATGATGCTTCCCAGAGGTGGCCTATGAAGCAGGGCAGTAGTAGTAAAAAAGCGCTGGGTGGACCACCCCCTGGCTCTAATGTAACCCTATGACCAGCACTGGGAAGGCTGCAGGGTCTCCTTCCATCCCTGCTCAGATATGGCAGAGGCCTTCTATCAAAGCCCCAGTCTCTCACTGGTCACAGCAGTTCCACATGTCATGATGTCACAGTAGAGAGAACATACACTTCTGGGGCTTTTTTTAAACCTTACATATGAAATCAGTAATCATTCAAAAAACAAAGTTACCTTTTCCTCATCCTTATTACTAAAAAGGTAAAGGTTTCCCTTGCTCAAAAGCCAGTCGAGTCCAACTCTAGGGGGCAGTGCTCATCTCCATTTCAAAGCCGAAGAGCCAGCGCTGTCCGAAGACTTCTCCATGGTCATGTGGCTGGCATGACTAAACGCCGAGGCGCACAGAATGCTGTTACCTTCCCAGTGAAGAAGTACCTATTCATCTATTTGCAATTTCTTGCTTTCGAACTGCTAGGCTGGCAGGAGCTGGGGCCAGAGATGGGAGTTCATTTCGTCATGTGGCACTAAGGTCTTGAACTGCCAAGCTACAGACCTTCCGGTCTGCAGCTCAGCATCTTAACCCCTGAGCCACCACAGCACTCTCATTACTACAATGAGTTTAAAACAAAAATAAATCCCAGTTTTTACTACAATTAGTTTAAAATCCTAGTTTGCCATGTACTGACTCTTTCTAGTAGAATTATTCATGCATGTACACAGTCATGGAGCCAGGGCCTATTTTCTAAACATTCTGAAATCTCTCCTAGAGTGCGATGTCGATACATTTTTAGTAGAAAAGCTGAAAGACATGAACCTACAGAATGGTCACTGTAAGCATGTTCCCCCAAAGGAGCAGAGCCTCAATATTTATGTTTGCTCCCTTAAATGGGGGGAGGGGCAGTCATTGCTCAGGACTGGTGTCATTTTGCAAATGCGTTTACAGAACAGAAAACTTTTTACCTCCCCATGAAGTTGCACCTGCAGGTGCTGCGGCAGCTGCTTGTGCAGTACTTGATGTGAAGTCTGGCTGAAGGTCTAGAAGATCGCTGGAGGATTTGGAAGCACTATTATGAAGAGATCAGAAAAGCCTTTAGAACAAAAGGCACAGATGTCAGCTGCCAATCCACTTCCAGCCTTGTACAATCATTCAGAAGGGTTAACAAATGGACATCTTCAAGTACTTATTTTGCTACAGCTGTGATCTCCATTTCTTTAATAAGTTGATAATCAAACAGCAAATAATACCTGTGGCATGGACCTGAGAGTTTTATGCCATGCTGAGACAAGGAGCATGAGGGCCTCTCCTGCCTCTTCCATATCTTATGAGCCAAGACAAATCAGTGTGTGAGATTATTTCCACAGACTATAGTTGTACTCATATACACTTTGGATTTGGCACACATTTGTGTATTTCAGTGCTCAAAGTGCTCCGTACGCATTATCTTGCAATATCCTGTGGCACATTTGCCAAAAAGCAGGCTTAAGCTATTCCAATAACTGTTTGAAACTGTATGAAAGATGGGGAGGTGGCTTAGCATCCCTGGAAAAGGCATTTCCCTCCACTGTCAAAGCTCTTTAATTATTTTTACAGGAAATTGTTTCATTTACTCTTCAACTAACCTGACTGGAGCTGATGTAGAAGACGTTGCAAAGAGATCAACTGGAGGAGATGTATCAATACTTTTTGCTGGGGTGGAATTGGGAGATGTAACAGTTGTGGCTGGAGAAGACTAGACAAGAACAACTTATAAATATGTAACCCAGAAAGCCTAAACAGGCAAAGCAATTATACTTTCCATTCAGCAGCCATTCCATTAAGCACCTCTAGGATTCTTCATATAAAGGGAAGGTTGCCAGCCTCCAGGTGAAGCCCCAAAATCTCTCAGAATTACAAATGATCTTCAGACTACAGAGATGAGCACCCCTGAATAAAATGGCAGCTTCAGAGGATGGACTCTATGGCATTCTACCCCACTGAAGTCCCTCCCCTGCATAAAGGCTACCCTCCCCAGGCTCCATCCTCAAACCCCCAGGAATCTCTCATCCTGGAGTTGGCAACCCTATGTAAAGATGTTAGTAGCTCACTTAAAGTAAGTCGCCATCTAAAAGCTTGCTGTACTGAGAATTATGTTTGTTTTTTTTCATTCTGAAGCCATAAATAACCATTAAAACTTATTTAACTAGAGGTTCAGTCTTTATGTGAAATACTTCCACTAAGATGTGGGATACATATACTGGGTACACTGGATTTCTTACGTCTACCTTTCAAAAATGCTCAAACCTAAAACATGATTCTATCTGGAAGCATACAAAATATACAAATACTATTTCCAGTACTGAAAGTCACAGTGGAAGGAGCAGCTAACTTAGGAGCTTCAAAGTCTAGATGCAAAATGTGCCAGAACCAGCTGACCAGTTTACTATGAAGCAGGGAAAGGGGAACAAAGCAAAAGAAGCATCAGTGCTCCTGCCCAATAGAAGCTGCTTTTCTTCCAAGGGTTCCTTCCTCTCCCCCCCCCCACCCGCAAAGACTGCTTCTGATTTGAGTCCCACAGAAAGAAAAACAGCTAGGCAGGGCTACTTTCCAAGGGGAAGAGAAAGAAGAGGAGAAAGGCAACGTGGCACCATTTCCTACCTAAGCTTGCTGTTCTTTGAACTACTTCCACTTGACAGCAGTTTGACATTACCTAAACTGGGTTATGTTGGGGTTATGGCAGTGTTTTTGCACATCACCTTTTATTAATACAGTTAAGAGGCTGCTGAAAAGCCTTAAATGTTTAAACTGCTTAAATACCTTGGTCAGCGCATAAAGGGGGAAAAAAGCGTAGAGACTTATTTTTTAAAAAACCTGCGTCCAAATCAGGAAGATGAAGAAAGTACTGTATTAACTGTAACTTCTCTCTGAGCTCTTCTCTTGAATTTTAGATCTTTGGTTCACAGCAGCTAGACATTATCAAGGGATCAGTGGCTAAGCAACATCTCAGATTTCCCTGCCATGACAGAAACGGGCAGCTTGCCAGCATCTATCTTGGAAAAGGTCCCATCAGTGCATCTTCAAGGCAAAGAGTGTTGTTCTTTGCTGTAGAAGTCCAGTGTCAAATGCATATTCACCAGTAGCCAAGGGGTTTGTTTTGGGTTTTTTTTGTTTTTAAAAGCTTCTCTAAAATGAATTTATGCAGAGTGGAGAGGCTGGGTTGTGCAACTGAGAACATTAGAACCCTGTTTTCCTTCTAAGCCTCCAAATACCCTTTTTTTTAAAGGCCCTATGTAACAGGGAA